AGGATTTACTAAGAGTTTATTGGTTCACATGTCATGCCTTGCCCAGCTCTAAACCTTCCTTCTTTCTTATTATGTAATATTCATAGGTGCCAGGGCAGTGAGGAAGTTATTTTTTCCAACAATTTTATACTTTAGCTAAAACTTTGTCAGGTCAGAACTCTACTTCAGTAGTCTTGCTATGACTTTGGAGTGATCTTCTTTTGTAAAAATTTAGTTTCCAAACAATTTTCCAACTCCATATGCTTCAAATGAGTTATACAGGTAGAGTAAGAAATCAATTTTTGGCAGCCATGGGGAAGGCACTTAGGGTGGCTGCCCCTCTGGACAGCTGTGAATGGCTTCATCCATTTGCCCAACATTTTCTGTTTGCCATGATATGAAAAGGGTTGGGAAACACTGAACTAAAAAAGGAATGGTTCTCCGTAAAATTACAAGGCTATTCTGGTACATACACTTGCAGTCTCCCAATTTGATTCCCAAAAGTATCAAGTAAACCTAGTATTAAAGTGGTCAGGTTAATGGGCTTAACTAACTACTCTCACACTTGTTGAGGAAAGTAGTAAGTCGTGTTATTTTATAGCTTGAGGAGTTCCCTTTCAGGTTAATTTTGTTTCCCCCAAAGAAAAAAAAAGGTGCCAGAAGAGATCCATGAGGAAAATAATAAAGCTGTTGGTGCTCCAGGCTGTGGAATATTTACCTGCCTCACCGCTTGACTACTGCTTCTTCCTTCACATTAAGACTAAGCTTTTCAACCTTCTGATCATGAAAAGCACATTCCACTCAACTTCCATAAATCTGCAAAACTTGAAAAGAGCCCCAGTGTCATCAAGTACAAGAGCCGGCTTTAGGAATCTCACTGGAAGGAGGGGTGTCTTCGGGCCTCTCACTGCTAAGCCGGACATTTCCTAACACTGGACAAATTGTACATCCAGCTCAGGGAGGGTGAACTGCAGTGGTCTTTTACCCTCCAAGCCAATTGTTAGCTTTTCACAGGAATCAGCAGGGAAGCACATGTGAAACCTCTGTGGTGACGGCGAGCGCCCCCATGCCTTGTGTGACTCTGCATGTAGATGAAGCAGGCTGGGGGCTTTCTTAGCTGCTGCTGCTGAGTTCTCAGCGCAGCCCTTTTCTCCGGCCTGGCTCCCTGCTGGGGCAGCCCTTTTCAATTTTTCTATCCCCCCTCGATCTCTTCTCCTGCAGAACACAGGGAAACTTGATTGAAATAAAGACCTAGGGAACATGTTTTATTTTCCCCTGTTCAATCCATTTTAGAAAAGCTTTTAATTGGTTTTAAAAAGATGCTAAACAAAATGTGATGATGTTTTTCAGTCTTCATGAACTACAGATACCACTTTTTATACTTCCAAAGGGCTAATAAATCAATCATGAAATTAACTCTCCAGCTAAATTTAAAGCAATCCACTGAATACCAGCTTCATAAAAAATCCATGCTTAGAAAAAATTTAAATTCAAAGAAAATTATCCTAGTAACTGAAATCTGACTTGAATTTTTAGTCCTACACTGAAAATCCAAGACCAAAGCAATCACAAAGGGAAAAAAGGCAGGCTTGTGAACCAGTTTTAATAAGCCAATTTACAACGAGGGAGGGGAATGGGGGAGGGAAGAGGTAGAAAAGAGAATATCTTGATACATAACAACATGGTGCTCTTGAAGGGCCTCTTTTATTTGAGCATGTGCACACATGCACACACACATTTTCTGTATGAAAGCTGGAATTACAACAAATGAAAAATTAAGGATTCTGTGACTGATATGCTTATTGTGTACATGTATGGCTCCTCTTTTTAAAGAAAAAGGCCTACAACTTTTCTGTTTTCTTGATAGTGATAAAAATAACAGTTTTTTACCATTCCATACATTTCTACAACATTCAGATTCATATACTTTTAATATTTAATTGAAAACATCTGAAAAACCTACATGATAATGGTTTGGTGAAGTGAATGCTTCTACTTTAGAATGACAAATATTCTTAATACTGGATCAGCCTACAAATTTCCCTTCTTTTCCTGAGAGAATACAAACTAATTTAAAAAGCAAGGAGGTACAGAGAAAAGTATATTTTTATTTTGTTAAATATATGCCAACTAGAAATATTTTAAACATTAATTTCTTTTGTCACATTCACTTATACAGCAGGTCATCTAGCAGTCCAGGTTAGAGTTACCAAATTCTGATTAATGACAGGCTGGCATTCTCTCAAAAGAGAATCCCTGCCATTTCCAACTGCTAAGGCAACCACATCTGTCTTACTTCGTACGTGTTCCTATAGCCTTCCTTTTTTTCCATCCTTAGAGAAATTCGTTTCCCATCTTTTTTTAATGATCCAATTCCTGTTTCTAAGATTTCCCCCAAGGTAGGCCATACACCTTGAGTGCTCACTCTTTACTTCTAGCTCTCCAGATAAGCCTCCTTTCATCAAGCTTCTGAAACTATTTTTTCTTTTGGTAACCATTTTATTGAGATAATTCATATAACAAACAATTCACTGATTTAAGGTATTCAATTCAGTGGTTTTTACTATATTCACAGATATGTGCAACCATCACACAGTCAATTTTAGAACATCTTCATCCTCTTCAAAAGAAACTCCATACCCATTAGGAGTCACACAGTCAATTTTAGAACATCTTCATCCTCTCCAAAAGAAACTCCATACCCATTAGGAGTCACCTCTCATTCTCCCTTTCTACCTCTCCCAACCACAAATCTACACTCTGTGTCTATAGATTTGCTTATTCTGGACATTTCATATAAATGGAATCTAACAACATGTGGTCTTTGTGACTGGCTTCTTTTGCTTAGCATGTTTCCAATGTGCATCCATGTTACAGTACATATCAGTGCTTCGTTCCTTTTTATTGCTGAATAATATTCCATTGTGTGTATATAACACATTTTATTTGATAAACATTTGAGTTGTTTCCACTTTTTGGTTATTACGAATAATGCTGCTATGAATATTCACACACAAGCTTTTGTATGGACATACATTTTCATTTCATGGGGGCATATGCCTAGAGGTAGAATTGCTGGGTCATAAGGTAACTCTATCTTTAACCTTTAAGAACTGCTAGACTGTTTTCCAAAAACTGCACAGTATCTATATTTCCACCAGCAGTGTATCTGGGTCCCAATTTTTCCACATGCACTCCAACACTTGTTATTATCTGACTTTTTTATTATAGCCATCCTAGTGGGTGTGAAGTAGTATCTCACTGCATTTCCCTGATGGCTAATGATATTATCTTTTCATGTGCTTACTGGCCATTTGAATCTTACTTATTTTTAAATGCTTTCACTTTAATCATACCTTGCCAAATATAAATTACAGCAATACTAAAAAATGTGATCCCACCAAATTGAGGGGAAGGGGACACTCAAAAAATATTTTAAAAAGTAAATTACACATATTTTTGTTGAGTAAGTTATTCATCAAGTGCATCTGCATGAACCTCTGTGCCAGATGCTGTAAGATTTGAAAGTACAACATAATGGACTTTTCCTCAAGAGTCTCATAATTATTTTTACAAAACAGAAATTATTCCTATTACCAGTTATTATTAATGTGTTCTATTTACTTCTGTTAAAACTTATTTTAGATTACAAATAATTCTCAGTTAGGGAATGTCTCTCTTTAAATCAATGTATATAATATTTAACAATGTGAAGGACAAGCAGTTTAAAAAAAAGATTGAAAAATTATTCTTCCTTCTCCAAGACGACTTTCAGCATAAATTACTTTTAGCTAAAACTGAAAAGTATTAGAAAAAATTTAAATATCTGGAAAAAGTCTCCCAATCTAACAGTTTTTAAAATGCTCATTTCATAAAAAAGGACTTTTTTATATGTGACATATATATTTATTTGTGTTCCAGTAACTTTAGATGTATATATGTATTTACTGAAGGAATCAAATAAGGGAATATATACTAATTTCTCTAATTTCAGCCTTAGTATAGGCTAAAATTCCAGTTACTAGAAATGACAGTTTATGAAAAGATGATTAAAAAATATTTTCACATTGCATATATGTAGTGAATTTTCAAGGATGTTGTAGGTTAAATTTCTTTTCAATATTGTAAAAAGAGAAAACCTAGAAAATCAAGACAAGTCCTTTACCTTTAGGTCTAGCATTCACACATGCACACGCGTGCGCGCATGCACACATACTCACGCACACACAATTTTAACTATTAAATTAAAAATTAGATTCACCAGCTTAACATTAAATATTTTCCATACAGCTTAGTTTATATCTTTAACTTCAAATATGAGATTCCCATAGAGATATTAGATGTTTTTTTCAGTTAGTGCTTAACCCCTTTGTATCTGTCTTTGATTGGCATTTCTTTGAGGTTACAGCATGCAGAATCAATCAAGAGAATTCGTGTCATGTGTCATAGCCAAACATGCTCTGGCAGCCTCTACATAATTAACATATTTAACCAATCCTTATAGATTAGTTTTAAATGTGTTAAGCTATCAAAATCACCGGTCTCCAAGAGCCACATCAGTAAAAATACAACCTTCAAGTGCCAAGATACTGGCTATAAAGTCACTCCTCAAAAGTACCACGCGAGATAAATACAAATTTTTAGGAAAACCTATGAAATGATAAATGAAACAAATAAGAACATGTATTTAATCCCTTCTACATTAATATCATAATATTAATAATAATATTAATGTAGATCGTCACCTCATGGGAGATGAAGAGGGGAAGGGAAGCGTAATACGGTGGAGAACTTATAAACAGAACTGAATACTAACTGTGGGATTCTGAGATCTTCAGAAAAGGAATGGAAAACTCTCGATTGTTAAAAAAATCATTTACCTTAAGATAGAAGGCCAGACTAGATGACTTTTCAAAATCCCTTCAACAACAGGATTTTATATGTTTATGATAGCCTGTTTATTTATAATTATATGCAATTTTCTAGAAAAACTCTGAAAATGTTCTTTGTATTATTTTTACCTGAGGAGGTGCCTTTTTCAGTAACACAAGAAGGGCCTGTAATACCAGATTAGAAAATCGAGGGCCAATGGGGACATAATCTAGAAGAGAAACATTGCTATGTTTAGGGATTTGATACACATATGCACATATTCAAAACATTTGGATTTTTCTGCATCAAGAGTAAATAGTTCAAAGTACTGTCTTGCAACTTAATAATTAGCAAAAAATACCCCCAATAACTTAAATGCTTAAAATATTATAAAAGAACTCTCATCTTTCAATTTTTAAAAAAGCTTCTAAATATCCATTTTGAGTTTATGTACACATCTTTGTCTGACATTCAGAAACATTTCATTTTAAGGGAAAAAAGGCTCAGGTGTATCTAGTAAGCATTTCCAAGAAACTACTGTAAACCATGGCAATACAGTAAGTACAAAGGCAACATGTCATACTAGAAAATGGGTAGATGGGAAAATGGCAAGTAATATTAATGTAAGAAAGTACTCCATATGGCTGAAGTGATAGAACAAGATTAGTCCTCAGATGGCGAACAGAGAACTTTCTAAAAGAACCTTCTGCCTGTTAAACTTCTACCAATCCCCCAAAATTCGGCAAGAATGCTACAACAGCTTCCTCTGCATATTGCATATGCACTCTTGCCCTGCCCTTACAGCTACTTTTAGGCAGCAGCCCTCTGAAGTCAAACGTGATCCTTCCCTTTTCTGCATATCCAGAGCACATGGCTCATGCTACTTTGCATTAATTTTTTGTCAATATATGTTATGACAGCATCTTATTTTTCTGGGACCCCAATAATTCTAGTACAGTAGTAAGGGCTCAGCAAATGCTTGTTGAATGAATGAACAAACAAGCACAGATAATAACTATTCACACAAGTGAAAATATACTCAGAGGGTACACATTCTTGACATAGTAGTGTTGCTATGACCACATGTCTCAATTGTGTTTAGATAAAGGAATTCACCCAGAGCTATGAGTATGTGCCTAAAAGCTTCTAAAGAAGTAATCCTATAAACTGGGCTGAAATGTATCAAAAATAGCAGACTAAAAACCCAGGTCACCAGATAAAACTATTAATTTAAGAAAACCTCATGGATATACCTGCTTTGTTTTATAATAGCTACTGCCTTAGGAAACAGGAAAGTAAGTAACAGAGGACCTAAAGTAAGCCTAAAAATCATGGGAAAAATGTAGCAGGAACAGATAACTTGAAATCATTACTATACCATTTTGGGTAACTTAAGGAAGAATGGATTAATCAGGTGTTGGGTAGTATTTTCAAATATTTATTAAGTCACCAGGTAGGCTCAATTTAAATGGAGTTTATCACAATATCCTGAGCCATTTTCATGATGAATTTATTCCAGATTCATCTAATTTTGGCAATGAAATAAATGTAAAAGTAACAACAGTTTTCTGTCATTTTGCTTGTAGATTATACCTGATGAGTTGAGTGGGGGGCATGTATTATTTATCTCTGACCCTGTAGGAGGTGTTGAGTAAATATCTCTAAAACTTACTATAAAGCACTTTTAGCTTTCACACAGTTTTCAACATTATTATCCCATTTTTGTCTCCTGGACTACTATATATATGGGCTAAGTAAGAAATGGAATACAGTCTGTATTTTAAGAGCAGAAAAAGACACAGAGAACTAACAGCTTCTGCCCCAAGTGTTATTTCACTTCAACTGTAAGCACTTCTTTCATTATTTCTGTCAGAGTTCATAAGTGGAACCTCTGAGGTATAGGCAGCTCAGAGATACTAAACAGCAAATGTATCTATCAACAAAAATTATCCATCAACAAAAAAATAATATGAGGCATGGGCTCTTATGAGAAAGCAGTTTATAATAGAGTTATAGTCATAAAGCATATTTAACTTGAATACCATTATTATTTCAGATATAAGAGATACTTCCTTATAAACCAAAGAAAGGCATTTCTACTGTCCTATAGTTTATAAATGCCCATTATTTTTCTCTTGTAATTTGTGAGACATTAGCTGTAACATGGCAAAGATCGTACAATGGCAGAAGTTATGACTCACCAAGCAGTCTCTCAATGTCATCCACCACCACACAACTGAGCTGGGATTTGTATGCATCATCAAAAATCTGGAAGAAAGCAAAACCACTTATTATCTCACTGCTCTCCATAATTACGGCAATTTCCAAGATAAAATTTAGTTAATTCGTGAGCAATGCCTAAACAAAGCACAGTAAAACACCAATAGTTCAGACTTATACTACATTAGAATTTAATAAATAGGATTTTAGAAAAAGGTCATTGCAATTTAAAAATGAGAAAACTGAGGCCCAAAGCAGTTAAACTGTGTCCTCAGTTGCCCAAGACAACACAACTGGATCATGGCTGAGCAAGGAGCAAGGTAATGCTGTTTCCATTTCCAAAAGCTGGATGTGTCACACCTGGTCATGCTGAGGCACAACTGGTCATTAATCAACTGACAGAGCCCATCAAGTTTATCACAGTGGTCTCTCCTATCTATGTCAGGGACATGAACGTCAGTGTCGTGACTCAGGAGTTAGATGGAGCCACAAGGGATGTGTGGGATAAAACTGGATTTCATTTTATTACCTGTAAGAATTGTCATCTGTTAAGCAGAAATAACACTGAAAGAACAGAATTCCATCAACTCAAATCCGATTATGAAAAAATGTTTACAAAAGAATTAAGAGTTGGTTACAAAAAATCACATAGGCATGTCTTTAGATACAGACAAAATGTAATCGTACATTGTCTTAAAACAGTGAAAGAAATGCAAAGTGAAGCAAGTCGAAGGGGGTTGTTATATCCTGGCAAGAATGTGGCACTTTCAGGCCTGACAGAATTAATTTATGCATAAGTTGAATATCAGCACTAAGGCCTTGAGACCAGCCTTTTGTCAACGCTGGGGGTTCCTATTCCAGCAATTACAACTAGGGCTCAGTACAGCCCATTGGTGTCATATCTAAGAATTCCTGCACCACAGCCCAGTCTCTCTGGTTGGTAAGTAACCTCAGTGCACCAATAGGGCAACACCCCCACATAATTCCTAATCTTTTAACTATAGAATATTAAATATTAGGTATAGAAATAAAGTAAATCAAACTTATACTATTGTTTTTCATATTAAGTTCAAAGAGAACCTGTTTATACCTGGTCTTTAAAGAATTCGTAATAGTTAAGAAAATTTACTATACTAGGTGAATAAATTAGCCTTGCTAGTCCAATTTAAAATTGCAATTGAAGAATTTTGATAAGCTTTTACATTAGAAAGTACAAGACAACTTCAGTAGCTTATTAAATAGTAAAGATGATCTAAGATTCACCATATTTCTATTATGTTTTAATTTATTATTAAATATAGATTTACTTTAAAACTCAGAATGTTGGACAAACAACTCAAGTACTTCACAGAGAAAATAAAATATGCTGAATGTGCAAACATAGTTTGAAATAAAGAAATCTAATTAAGTTTTAAAAGTCCCCTTTTAAATAACTGCTAAATTTTGCTAGACTTAAAAATAGAATAAGAGATGTTAGTGGACTTTTTTTAAAGTTTGAGTTTTCTTTTGTGTTGAAAAACCAGGATTTAGGTTGCATAATTTAATACATTGAATTTTTACTTTTTAAACCTCAAATTAGCTATACAGGGTCTCTTTTATGCTCAGAAGTCACCCTCAGAGATACAAAACAAAAACAAAAATTATGACAAAAAAAATCCCACTCATGCTGGCAATCTCAATGCTAAGTTCCTCCCAACATACTATCTGTTCTTATTTTTATTTTTTTAGTGATGTGGAGCATCTCTTCATGTGCCTGTTGGCCATCTGAATTTCTTCTTTGGAGAAGTGTCTGTCCAGATCCTCCGGGTTATTTGTTTTTTGGGTGCTGAGGCGTGTGAGCTCTTTATATATTTTGGATGTCAACCCCTTATCGGATATGTCATTTATGAATATATTCTCTCATTTTGTAGGATGCCTTTTTGTTCTTACGATAGTGTCCCTTTGCTGTACAGAAGCTTTTAAGTTTGATGTAGTCCCACTTGTTCATTTTTGCTTTCGTTTCCCTTGCCCAAGGAGATGTGTTCAGGAAAAAGTTGCTCATGTTTATATTTAAGAGATTTTTGCTTATGTTTTCTTCTACCAACACACTCTCTGTTCCTTAATGTGGGGGATGTCTTCCTCAGTATAATGCTTCAGGGTCTGACACCTCACTGGTGCTAAATAAATGTTTGCTATATGCATGCATGAAAGAATGTCTCTGTTGCTTTCCTCTGCACCATCTTCTTTACCTGTCAGTCACCCTCTCACACTGTGTTAAAATCCCATTTACCTTTCTATCCTTAGCTGTCTCTCCCCACTGGATTGTGAGGTAGATAAAAACTTTATTCATGTTATCTCCAGTGCCCAGACAGAATACTTTCAGGTAATTTTTACTAAATGTAGTAGTTTTTAGTAATGATATTTGTCCAATAGATCCAATGGCTGAAACACAAGTTCTAATTTCATCTTGCTGTGAGAAGAGTTCTTTATTCCTTCTTACTCCCACCTGCATCCTTTTTCCCACCAAAAAAGTGAAGAAAAAATGAGAAGATAGCATATTTATTTCTAATTGATACATAGTGATGGCTCCTTTTGGCTTTAAGTTGGTGAACAAGACAATGGAAAAGTTTGGAAGAAGTTCCACAGTGGCTTTCTGATATTTTGAACACTGGACCAATACAGCTGCTAATGTGGTAACTGTAAACTTGGGTGATTTCAAGGAGTCGTTGAAAACAATGTTTTGCTCTTCAGAACACTTTTCAGAATTCTACTAAAGGTTCTGATGCAAGCATATAATCCTGTCAGGCTGTAATCCGGTGGGTTACAGCCACAGGGGCTGGGACATCATGCACTAGATACTTGTAGTACTTCTACATTTTCCCTGAATAAGCCCTTCTCTCTTCTCAAGGACAACGTAGAGCTTACACAACCACAGGAACCTCACTCAGGACATTGCTGGCGTCAAGACTGATCGTAAATTGGTATGTAGTCTCACCAACTTATCTCAGAGACTCTGATTGATGAGGCATTACAAATCACTTTACAGTTGACTGCATGGGCTACCTGTAAGAATTTAGAAGAAAAATACTTATAGCAGTCACTTAATGTAATTTTTTTAGCAGACAGAGCTTAATGTACTAATGACTATCACAGAGAGAGGAGCACTCACAGCTGACTCCCTTAACAACATACTAACCATGACAAAGGCTGTGTAATTCCAGTTGTAACTTGACCAGTTTCCGTGGACAGGTCAACTGAAACTCCTTGGAGTAGCGATTCTGCTTTAATTTAAATACACACACCCCTTCCACTTCTTATACACACATTCTTTTTCTTATTCAATCACGAGTGTTAATATAAGGTCTTCACTCTTTCTCTGTATCTCTGTTTTCTGCCTAGTCTCCTCAGCCTCTCCTATTCTACGCCCAAGGCCCCAGGAGAATGAATGTTCACTAAGATGATACTGAGATTTGACTGGCAAGTATATGCAATTAGCTGCTAGACTAAATCCAAGTGAGATATTTACATAGTGAGCTAGGAAGTTCTGCCACACCTTTAGACAGACAAATCTGAAAAGGAGAAGAGGTGTTAGAAAGATGCAGGAAAGGAAAATTGTACAAACTGTCCCAGCTAGAATATATACCTGAAGTGCCAAACTTGCTATGAGTAACAGCACACAGCAGATACAGAGTGCCTGCTCCACATCAAATGATGCCAAAACAATGACTGGCCAGGTGGGCTGAAGTTGGAACTAATGGTTGTAGCTTAAAGACTCTTTAAAAAATTAACTTAAATTCTGATCCTCTCATTTAGTATGATAAAAGTAAGATGCTCGAGCTTTTCTTGTTGGAGAGGTTATCAGTCAGGGATCATATAAATTATCATGCAAACCAAGACGATTGAAAGGGGGAGAGCTGTTATTAATCATATTGGAGCAACAGGTAAACACTGGGATCACACAAAGTAAATTGGAAAGTACAGTCATCCTAGTTTTATCAGGAGGTTTCTTGTAGAGCAAGTGAAATTATCAGCATATATGTATGCTTAGAGTCAGATGAGAGGTCTGAAAGAGAAGGATGAAGAAAAAGAATGGAAAGAATTGAAGAAAGAAAAAAGTGTGGAAAACAGTTGGGACAGTCAACATGGAAATACCAAGAGGTCTATTCTGGAAGATGAAGACTATATCTAGAGAACATACAATCCCAAAGTCTATTTCTAGCTGTAGATACATAAAATTGTCATCATTAGACTCTCAGGTACCACCGCTCTTGTGTGCAAAGGCAGGTAGTGGGTCTAAGAGACAGCCTAGAATGTGCGGAGCCTGGGCTTGAGGCAAGAGCATGCCGATGCACTCCGTAAACACTGAGAAAAAGGAGGTATGGGGCTCCTGCCACATAAGGCTTAGGGGCAGGGCTGAATAAGGTCCTTAGGGATGCTGCAAGCTCTCAACGCATAGAGCCCATTCCTGGAATCTTCAGACAAGCTAGGAGCCATCTGTGGATAGGGGAAGGGCTGCAGCTGCAGATTCTGGAGTCTGCATGAACACAAATGGGAACATGCCAGCATTAGCTCCATGTTAATCCCAGTCTTTCAAAATCACAAACCACAGTGAAGTGTGTTCTAAGTAGATTCCGACCTCCATTTTCTATAACCTCTTTAGTGCTCTGTGGTAAGTGAAGCCAAATTCTCTGGTCTTTTTGGGACTGAAAGAGTTTATCTCAATTCTGAAGTGGTTGGCATGAAGCACCTAGTTAGTAGGAATCTGATGACAGTAGGAATCTGATGATTTAGAAAATCCCTAATGTAGTAAACCTGTCAGCAATTAGTTGAAAGCATACCCTAATCATATTTGGTAGCATATAAAAATATAAATGAGCAAATTTAAATTGGTGCTATCAGTAATAATCTCTAGTTTCTAAAAATAACTTGGGAGTAGACCAAGCAAACATTAGCTGTCTTCTAATGAAACTGCCTCAGGAAGTGGACCCAAACTTTTGGCAAAGCACTAAAGCTTCCCGGAATGACCTTAGAATCCCTTATTTGTTCTCCCTGCTTTTCAGGAAAAATTC